TTATTTATTTGCAGTGAATGCAGCTAAAAACAAGGCTCATTCATTTTCCAAACAGTAACATTCAAGAACTTTTCAAACATTTTTAAGATCAGTTTTCAAACTTCCAGCTCCACACTTTGGAGATCAAAACAATACAAAAAAACCCCTAAAAACCAGATTTGATTCGCTATTATCCATCATTTATTACCATTATTAGTAATATCTTGTGATAGTAACATACATTATACAGCAACTAAAACAGCTGTTCTTTAACCATGGCTGGCATTGCTGTTAGCCGTCAACGTAATGCGCTACATCTTAAATGTGCGCCTGATATTTGAAGAAAAATGGATACATTGCTTTGCTGCTAATTGTCAACACTAAGACAATTAGATAACAAGGAAAAATACATAGAGGGAGAAGGGAGTAGGCCAACTGTGCTAGCTTGACTATGACAACCTTAACATGTAGATGTGCTGCAGAATTTGGTGTATTTCACTTCAGTTTAAAAATGAAAAAAGGCGACCCAACACCAACTCTGACAGACGATTATTAGAGAAGGTGTTTAAATTAGCTAATGTTCCATCGTTAGATTTTTGGTGTTGAATCCTGATAGTTAGTGGAGTTGTTGTCAACCAGTTGCTATAGAAACGAGTTTGTGTGTTGTGCAGCTGATACAGAGAGCAAGAAAAACTTTGTTTTTAGTTGTTCTTCAATGGTTTTTCTGTTATTTTTCCCCTTGCTCTGCTGTACTAAATTAATAACAGCTTAATCTCCAGGTTTCATTTAGGAAACAGTTTGACCGCAGTAGCTCCGCTACGGATGGAAAAAAACATCCAGTTTTGTGCTCAAGCGCAAAATTTTCAGATGTAAACAATGACATGAAACGGGTTTATAGAAAACTACAAAAATCTGCAGAGGCTTGATACTTCAATAAACAATGCATGCATCACATCAGAGCGCGTAAGGGAGACGGTCGGAGGGTGTCTCCTGATGGGACGCTGTTTCTGCCTCCAGGCGAAAAACAAATGAGTGGGATGGTGCCGTTTCATTTGAATGGCTGCCAGAGAAATCCCTCCTCCACGTCCTTCACCGTCTCATTTCACTTTGAGCAAAACAGCAGCACACGCAGTTTTTCACTTCCTCCTGCATCTCTCCTCTGACTGACACCTGGTGCAGCTGAAAGGAGCTTTCAGAATCTCACATCTATCTGGATAAGCAGGTCCACGGCTGCTTATCCAGGCCTGGAACCGCTTAGGAACCACTTAGGGACCGCTTAGGGACCGGTTCGGTTCGTTTAGGGACCAAAATTGTAACATTTGTTAAATTTTCAGGTGTTGCAGTTTAGTTTCACACTACACTGAGTGTGAAGCACTCAGAATATTAGGCACATAATAAGAAGAAATAATAAAATATAATATTTTAACTTTACTCTTGTATTGTGTCAACCTTCTTCTCATGAGTTTATTTTTGTAATATTATGACTTATAGTAATTTTATGAATGTGTTCTTGTTATTTAAGTTTCTATTTTCTTAGCCTGGCCGTAATTCTCCGTCATGTGAACCAACCAAACTCTTTGAGCAACCTGTTCCCCTCCTGGCCTGTGGGGGCACTGCACCAAGAACCACTGAATTAAACAACACAAAAACCTCTGAAGACACTGAGCACAACTTCCTTCTTCACCAAATGGAAACATGATCAATTAAAACTAATTCAATAATTTCCATTAGCATGATTGATCGTTTTTTCTTTCTACCAAAAACTGGATGATAAAATTTTAAGTTTGGTCTTTTGGTCTAAAGTAAAACTTTTTTTGAAGGATAGTTTTGTTTACAGAGACCTGAGAATTCATCTGTTCTGTTTTTTTGTTTATTTATTTTGGATATTTAAAATCTCTTCCAGTTTCAATGTTAGAATTTAAAGTTTATTTATCATTGAGAATGTCTTCTTACATTGTTATTATGTCATTGTTACCGTTGCGTTACTTTCAGAGTTGGGTAGTAACTAGTTACATTTACTCAGTTGCTTTTACTTGAGCACCTTTTAGGAGTATTAATTTTTTTGGACGACTAATTTTTATTTTTACTTGAGTAACAATATGTTGAAGTAATGATACTTTACATAATACATTCTTTCAGTATTTTACCCTCCTCTCATTATTTGAAAATAGTTTCAAAACAACAATTTTATTGTTTATCACATTAAGTTCAAGGACAATTTATCGTCCAACAGAGATTGAAATCCTTGAGCAAAAACCTGCTTATAGATTTTAATGACGTTCTTAAGAAATGTGTTTTTATATTGTTTTATTCAAACGTTTGATGATCACATCTGCGTTTTCTTGGCCGACTGGACGTGTTTTCCCGTTTCCTCCTCAGTCAGCGTTCATCAGGTGACTCATCAGAAAACCGCCCAGAGAGGATTATTTCAGCATCAGGAGATATTTCAGGGTGAGAAACGATAGTCGTAAACTTAATGGGTCGGTTCTCTCAATAAAGCAGCGGCTTGTATGACTTGGAAGCGGTCCAAAACATGCTGCACAAAGAAGTGCCTGCTGGAGGGTTTTTCTGGGGTAATTTAAGAAGCTCAGTTCCTATAGGTGCTTTTATCGTGTTTTAAAACTTTGTGGTGTGAGAGTGGATTGGATATCCAGAGATCAGGGCTCAGAGACGTAAAATCACATTTCACGAGTAAAATCTTTTTTTTTTCATACCAGATCAGATTTTAATACTTCTTAGGTCTTGCTGTTTTTCTAAGTAAAAATTACATTTATAAAAAATCTTCAAAAAGCACATTTTATTTCAGTCATCCCTGATAATTTTTGATTTATTACAAGAACATGGTCATTATATTACCAGAATAAAGAAACAATTTTACCAGAAAGAAAAATAAGTAATTTTAAAAAGAAAAAGCCTGGATGTTTTTTTTTTTTGGTTATTTTTTTCTCTTAAAAGTACAACTTAATTCTCCTCATATTATGACTTTATTTTGATAATATTAAAACATTCTTCTCATACTAATTCAACTTATTTTCATATTACTGTGATTCAAAAACGTGTCAAGATATTTCATATCAATCAATATCAGGCTCTGTGGTCACATATGGTCACTCCAAATCCAGTGTACTTTACTGTGTGTAGTGCATCATTGTGGCATATCGTGTTAAAATTTCCGATCTATGCATTTCTGTTTGATCAAGTGTTTTATTGTCCTGTTTGATCAGGTGTTTTATTTCCCTGTTTGATCAGGTGTTTATTTTCCTGTTTGATCAGGTGTTTATTTTCCTGTTTGATCAGGTGTTTTATTTCCCTGTTTGATCAGGTGTTTTATTTCCCTGTTTGATCAGGTGTTTTATTTTCCTGTTTGATCAGGTGTTTTATTTTCCTGTTTGATCAGGTGTTTTATTTTCCTGTTTTATCAGGTGTTTATTTCCTGTTTGATCAGGTGTTTTATTTTCCTGTTTGATCAGGTGTTTTATTTTCCTGTTTGATCAGGTGTTTTATTTCCCTGTTTGATCAGGTGTTTATTTTCCTGTTTGATCAGGTGTTTTATTTTCCTGTTTGATCAGGTGTTTATTTTCCTGTTTGATCAGGTGTTTTATTTTCCTGTTTGATCAGGTGTTTTATTTTCCTGTTTGATCAGGTGTTTTATTGTCCTGTTTGATCAGGTGTTTTATTTTCCTGTTTGATCAGGTGTTTTATTTTCCTGTTTGATCAAGTGTTTTATTGTCCTGTTTGATCAGGTGTTTATTGTCCTGTTTGATCAGGTGTTTTATTTTCCTGTTTGATCAGGTGTTTATTTCCCTGTTTGATCAAGTGTTTTATTGTCCTGTTTGATCAGGTGTTTTTTTTCCTGTTTGATCAGGTGTTTTATTTTCCTGTTTGATCAAGTGTTTTATTGTCCTGTTTGATCAGGTGTTTTATTTTCCTGTTTGATCAGGTGTTTATTGTCCTGTTTGATCAGGTGTTTTATTTTCCTGTTTGATCAGGTGTTTTATTTTCCTGTTTGATCAAGTGTTTTATTGTCCTGTTTGATCAGGTGTTTATTTTCCTGTTTGATCAGGTGTTTTATTTTCCTGTTTGATCAGGTGTTTATTGTCCTGTTTGATCAGGTGTTTTATTTTCCTGTTTGATCAGGTGTTTTATTTTCCTGTTTGATCAGGTGTTTTATTTTCCTGTTTGATCAGGTGTTTTATTTTCCTGTTTGATCAGGTGTTTTATTTTCCTGTTTGATCAGGTGTTCATTTTCCTGTTTGATCAGGTGTTTTATTTTCCTGTTTGATCAGGTGTTTTATTTTCCTGTTTGATCAGGTGTTTTATTTCCCTGTTTGATCAGGTGTTTTATTTCCCTGTTTGATCAGGTGTTTTATTTTCCTGTTTGATCAGGTGTTTTATTTCCCTGTTTGATCAGGTTTTATTTTTCCTGTTTGATCAGGTGTTTTATTTTCCTGTTTGATCAGGTGTTTTATTTTCCTGTTTGATCAGGTGTTTTATTTCCTGTTTGATCAGGTGTTTTATTTTCCTGTTTGATCAGGTGTTTTATTTTCCTGTTTGATCAGGTGTTTTATTGTCCTGTTTGATCAGGTGTTTTATTTTAAGCGGTTATGAGGCTCAGTGGTCAAACCTGAAACTGCTGACCAAGTTACTCAAAACGTTGCTGCTAGGCAATGAAAGAAAGAGTGAGTTGCTAGGTAACCAAAGAGTGAGAGAGTTAGATTATAAATGTATAAAGTTATTACCCAACTTTGGTCACATTTGCATGTTTTTGTTTTTCCTTAACATGCATAAAAACTCTGAGGCAGCATTAATGACTCGAATTGATAATGAAAGACACAAAAATGAAAAAAACATATCATACCCTGTTCATCAACATATCTTGCTTATTTTTATTGTCACCTACCTAATTTGCAATATTTGGCCAAAAGTGTTTTTTTCTCCTAAATTATATTTTGGCAAAGCAAACATTTGAAAGGTGACAATATGTCAGTTTGGCGAAGCAGTGTTGTGAGGAGTATTTTTACCGTTTCAGATTTCTTCTGTTTTTCTAAATAAGTGCCAGAAACTGTTTTGTAGCAGCACAAAGAACATTTCAGCTGTTTAGGCCTGATCGACCTAAAGAGGGCAGCAGTGAGACGGATTTAGGTAAATTATTTACACGAATATGTCAAAATTGACACAGAAACATAAAGATTGAACATTAATTAACAAATTTATACAGTTTATCATAAATGTTCAATTGGGGGCGAGTTACACTGTAAGTGTCGGTGAACAAAAACACTTTAAACCAGAATTTATGGCAGACAAAAACATCGATTTAGGTCATTTGTAATTATATAGTACAATAAAAAAAAATTATATTTTCTTACTTTGTTTCCATATGAATTCTACCAGTCTCTCTCTGCCATTTGTCTTCAAATAAAAGTCTGAAAATATAACATTAGCTTTGCTTTCCTGAGCTCCAGCTAGCTAACTAGCGCCATGCTAGCCCGCTTTTTCCTTGAACTTTGACATTACGTACGTTACGTACGTACGTGATTACGCTAGCACAGCGTGGGCAAGCTCTGTTCACATTGGCTACAACGGAAACAGGTTTTCCCGGATTAAAAGGTTTTTTTCACTGGTACTGATTTTATTCACTTTATTATTTATTCATGTTTTTTTTTTTTATTTAAATGAGAGTGTATCAGAACCTTTTGAAATGTATTATTTTTTAAATATTTCATTAGAAATATTACAGCACTTCCTCCAAATAGTATCTAAAACATTTATTTCCATAGTTGATAACATCAGGTAGCTCTTTTGATTAGCAACATTTGGATAATAAATGTGACATTGATTGAACTAAACTTTTAATGTAGCTTCACTGAGCTTCCACGTGACCTAGAAATTTTTGCAACGTAACAAAGATGGGTAAAATGATTTGCATTTTAATTTATTATTTATTTAATTTATTTTGTTTGAAAGGAATGTGTAACAAGTTAATATACAGAAAATTTCTTCATGAAAAAAAGTAGTTGGAAAAAAATAAAATGATATAATCTGCCCCTTTATTCAAAAGTCTATTTGCTACATTAGACTATCAATCAATGATCCTTATACAACAATAACGTAGTATTAGGGCTATGCTAAGAAAATTAATAATAAAATTAGGAAAATAAAGTCCGAATACGACAAGAATAAAGTCATAATAAGAGAATAAAGTCATAGTATTACTAGAAAAAAGTAAGTATATTACAACTTTATTCTGGTGATAACTCCTTTCCTTTAATATTATGACTTTAGTCTTGGATTATTTGTACTTTATTTTCGTAATGTTATTCTTGTTATTCTCATACAAATTCATTCTCACTATCATGAACTTATTCCAATAATTAAATTTTTTAAATCCTTTTTTCTTAGGATGGCCCTAATACATTGTATTAAACACAAAACAGGCAAACAGATTATCTTTGTAAATTCAATGGATCTTCTGACTTGAAAATTAAAAGTAAACTATCCATAGATTAGTTTCAGAGTGAACTGGTTTTACTGTAAACATTTTAATCCGAGTTAATCGCATAATAAATACATTTGAAGCGATTTGACCTGGCCTCGCTTCATGTTAGATGCTATGTCGCTCCACCACCACAGTGCGGCGCTGCAGGGGGAAATACGTCACCGGAAGTTACGTTTGTTACTCGAAAAAGATGTCTGCGCTCGCCGTCCAGGATTTCATCCAGCAGAACCGGGCCACCGCCCAGCAGGTGGAGACGTTTCGGGGTTACTGGGAGAGCGACAAGCACTGGGAGGCGCGGAGGGAGTTCATCCTGCGGAACATGAGCGACTTTGAGGCGGATCGGCTGGACCATCTGCTGTCCCTGTCCATGGTGTGGGCCAACAACGTCTTCATGGGCTGCCGGTACGTGAACGCACCACGAGCTGAAATGAACCAAAACTCACATTTACTAGTTCATGTTTTAGGAATGAGCCGAACCAGGTATAAAAGTTATATGATGAAAACTCGGGTTTTAAATAATCGGAGGATTTACACCGGACGTGTAATTGTTGTTGTACGTCATTACAATTACATTTCAGCCGTCCTCCTCTATTTAGTTTAGTTTCCTCCTTCCCTTATTTGTCCATTTTAATTATATCCCTTCGTGTCCCTCGTTTCCTTTCATCCTTCTTTACATTAATTTATATTCTTTTTTCCAACCAGAGTATCCCAAAGTTTTCTGTTTAAGAAAATGTTAAGTTTTTTTTTTTTTTATCACATCAGCATCAAATTATCCCTTTCAGAACTTTCAAACAATCATGCAAACATCTGAGTATCTAGATGAAAGATCACATCTGCTCTTCATAGAAAAAATGTTTCTCATTAAAATTAAGACATTCTGGAAAAATTTCTTTTTTTGTAAATATGTCTATGTGCTCGTAATTAATTAAAATCTTGTCTGTGATACTTCAAAGGAGGGATGATTGGAATAAAAGCCCCTTATTGAAAATATTTCTGCTATTTGTAATTTCTTCTTCCACTACTTCTTCTTGTTCTTCAATAAAAAGTGTAGTGTAGAGTGACCCCTTGTGTTTGCCAAGTGCAGTTACAGCACGGCGCTGCTGGACAAGGTGAAGGAAATGGCGGCGGCATCGTGGTGGAGGACGCACCCGTTTTCAAGACCAGAGATGAAATCATCAAAAGTCAGCAGGTCGGTTGCCTTGGAAACGCATCAACCTTTAACCCGCTGTGGGAGGAAATCCTCACCAACTTGTTCTGCTCCTGACAGGGCCGATGACCGGGACCGGGCCGATAACCGGGAATCGCTCAAATGTTTACCAACATGGACCAAGTTTTTATGGTTTTTACAAGTTTTTAAAAATCATGTAAAGAAACGGCAGAATCTTCTGGGTGTGGGAGCCTCTCATTTTATCGACTTTACTAGGAACGCACCGATATGAAGTTTTGTTGGATTATTTAATACTGTCGTTATGGCCAATAACGACGGTATTAAATTATTTGTTGTTTTCTTTGGAAAGAAAACAAATATTGGTTAATATCGGCCTGGTTTTATTTACTGATATGTTAAATTAGTAATACTGATGATATATCATGTATCACTAGATTTACTGCATTCAGTTATGCATAAATATGTACATTTACTGTGAAACTGCATGTTTTATAGTAGAATAAAGAACCTTGTTTGTTTTTTAACTCTGATTTACTTCAAATAACATATTGATGATATTTCCAAGGCAGAAAATCAAAAAAAAAGAAAAAAGTGGATAATTTAAAATCGGTAACAGGCAAGTTTGGGAATTTAGATTTAAAATGTAAAATCTTTTTGCAAGTCAGCTTTTTCTTTAAGTGTGCAGAAGTTTTTACATCAACACATTCAGCTAAATCTGTTAGCTGCTTTATTATGACTTGCTGATAACTTGGTGTTAATTTATGGTATTATTTCAGTAGTTAAAATTTTTCTGCATCTTATTTGAAAGCTTTAAAAGGTAACAAGTGTTTCAGCTACACAGGAAGCTGCAGCAGCCAAAACAGTCTCAGTTACTCTGAACCTAAAAAATGTCAATTTGAAAAACAAAGTTTTTAGCAAAAACTTTGTTAAAATTTCCTTTTCAAAGGGTAAAATCCAAAGCTCCTATTTGGATCTTTAATGGTAAACATGTTTTTATAAAAATACTTGACTGTTGAGCAGGTAAAACTTAAAAAAATAATTTTGGCATTAAATTAGCCAGTTTTGTACAAAGAAATTAACTTGGACCCTAACCCCCAAACTTTGTCACATGACCAATACTGCTGAGTCAAATATATTCATCTTGCAGAAAAAACTAAAATCAAGAAAATAAAGTAGATTTTGTTTTGCTGCATTGAAAGAACTGTGTCTAGTTCTCAAAACATACCAAAGAAGTCAAAGAAACTTCTGTCAAGTCTGAAAAATGTGTTTTTATTATGTTTATACAGCATATTATTTTAAGTATACATTTGTTTCTCAAAATTTGATAGCATATTCTGTTTACTAGGTGAAATAAGTCACAAGCCACAATATGAGCATCTCTGTTTAAGAAAGGGAGGTTTGTTTCATGTTGGCGGATCGGGTTCAGTCATGACTGTTTGGTTAAGGAGAATTTTGTTTTTCCAAGAAAAAGAAAATAAAAACATAAAAAAAGGTACAGACACCAAAAAGAAAACATTTAAATCTTCACTGAAGGTAGGTTTGCACAGCATGAAGGTGCAGCAGCTTGTTTTCAAATTAAATTAAAAAGAAAAAAAGAGCATTACTTAATTTTGCTTTTTTTTCCTTAATATTTGCAGCCAAGTAGTTTTAATAGAGCAATCAGAAGCATGGACACTTAAATTGTTTTGTTTCGGGAGATAAATTTAAAATTAAAATAAATCTTCCCTCCTGCCTAACCGACTTCCCTTCAATCTGCATTTATTATGATAAAACATGATGTGGAAGCATCCCACTGCAAAAACACTCAATGTTAAAGTATTTTGGTTTTTAGTACAAATATCTTGGTGCACAAAAAAGACTAAACTAATTAAAAGTAACTTTTCAGCAAAAAAAAAAAAAAAAGAAGAAGAAGCTTGTTTTAAGTCAATAATCCAGTGAAATTTACTTGGAGAATAATATTTCCACTGTCAGATTATTTCACTTATAAAACACAGGAAAGATATTTTGTCATAAGTGAAAATCTGTCAATGAAACTGAAACTTTTTCATTGATAAGGAATTATTCATGTCAAACCATCTCTTATGCTGAAAAGTTACATTTAAGCTCGCACACTCAAAGACAAAACTAAGACATTTGCACTAGAAAGTAACACAAAAATACATTTTGTGGTTTGCAGTGCCTCCATTATGCTATTTTTACCTGCTTTTGATAAACTTGGAGGAAGAAAATTAGAAAACAGCTCTGCAAAATAAAACGTAAAAACATTATTTTCTCTCTCATAAGAAACTTGTCGTGTCGAACCGGGGAGTCGTGATTTGCCTGCGCTGCTGCAGCTGCTGCAGCTGCCTCAAACTAACTGAATCCAAACCGAAGCAGAAACGAAGCGGCAGACGTTCTTTATTTAGTTTAACTGAGGATCAGTAATATTTATGAGCTCTGAAAGGCATTTCCTGGGTTTTTCCACAGCTTTTAAAAACGTGCCGATTTGGTCGTTAGCGTTTCCTTCTCAAACCAGCAGAAAACAAAAGATTAAAACTCAGGCATTAACCGCTTTTAGTCCAACCAAACATATATTACAAGTTTCTTAGCAATAACTTATCCCACACCATGCAATAAAAAAGACAAGAAACAATTAAAGATGGAAACCCAACACCCCAGATTTCCTGCAACGATCGGTAAGCAACTTGATGTCTGTTCAAATTTGGTTTTCCTTTTTACTTATCAGGGTGGCACTTGAGTTTTGATAGTTACTGTTGTTTCTTGATGAGCGGCTGAAGAAGAGGGATGATGACGATGAGGGGTGATGAAGACGACGGAACGGAGAGGAAGACGCTCAGCCGTCCACCCAGCTCTGCTCCACGATGGCCGTTACCCGCTTCTCATACTCCCTCTTGTTTTCCTGGTAGAGCTGCGCCGCCTGGCTGTTCGCCGGGCTGTTGGGGTTCGGCTCATCAAGCAACGACTGCAAGCAAAATACAAAAAGAAAACACTTTCATTTTATTCAAGAAATTTAAAAGAATTATTTATTCAAGTAGATTTTTTTGTTCTTATTTTATTCAAGTATAATTTTTTAAAGTGAATTCAGTAGTCCTGAGAAGCATTTCTATTACTATCAATATAACACTTAAAAAATCTCACATTAATATTTTAATTTATTGTCCAGCAGAATTTACTATGACAGACCTAAATGTCCATAAATCTATATAAAAATACATATTTTTACAAAAGATATTAAAATACTGAAATATTCTTCACATTGCCACTAGGAGGCGCTAGACACAAAAATATAATTGCTAATATAAGTTGGAATCCCAGAATATTAAAAGAAAGTTGAGTGGAAGAAAAAAAAAAAAAAAAAGAGGTGCAGAAGCAGCAGGAAAGCTGTCAGCACACAGATGTATGGAGTCAGAGACACTTTTTAAAATATAATAAAGAACTTAATATTTAAATAGAAACTGAGTGAATTTGATCAAATATTTAAGCATCCGTGTGTGATGAATTTACAGTGTTTCACTTCTAATTTGCTGATTCTCTTGTATTCAGGCGGATTGTTTAAAGTTTAGTTTGCAGAAACATAAATCCGACAGACCTGGATGGACGTGAGTATGGACGACACGTCGTACGTCGGGCTCCAGCGATTCTGAAGAATGTCTAAACATATACTGCCGTCAGCGTAAACTGGAAAACAGGAAACAATAGTTCAAATTTAAGCAGGTCATTTCCAAGCAAAAAACATTGAACAGTGAAACTCATGCAGTTTGAAAATACAGTAAGATTATATGACCTTTATGCTGGTCATCTCATATTTCATTTTTTCATCAAAAAAGAAGAAAATGTCATGGCTGTAAATGAAGGTGATAAATTATTTCAGCTTTAATGGATTTGAACTAAACCTTCATGTTAAAACTCAGAAATAAACTAAAACAGCAGCTTTCAAAGCAAATTATGTTGATAATTTAGTAATTTATTGATAAAAGAATTACACAACTTAAGCCATAAATAAAATGATTATAAACGGAAAAAACTAACTTTTCCTTCAGAAAACATCAGAATGATGATGAGCTCATTTTAATTTATTATGTGATTAAATGATTATCTTGATTTTTTTGAAGGGAAGAACAAAACTGTTGATGTTTATGAAAAGATTCTGGTGGAAAAGTTCATGAAACTAGTTTTTACTATGCATTTAAAGTTATTTTTGCTCTAAATGTGTAGATAATCAGAAAAGGTGATGGTGTTTGTTGCTGCAGCATCCCTCACCATTTGGATGAAACATTTTGGAGACGAACCGAACCGTGGGAGGCTTGTTGGGATACTCCTCTGAAAACTCTATCAGCAGCTTAAATGTTCCTGCAGAGACAGAAAGGAAACACAAAACTTTTACTCTGCAAGAAAGATGCAGATGTGAAAACCAGAGACGCTGCTGACAGCAAAGGAAACCATGAAGGGACTATAAATACCCCTTACTGCAGCAAAAGCAGTGTATTGTGCAGGACTAGACAGGAGCAGGGAGGGACAGGCTGACAAGCGTCAACTAGAAGAGCAGAAAGAGATCCTACAATGTCAGACGCAATATTTGTCATTTTTATTTCCTAAGCAGTGCCAAAGCACAGTGAATTACTCTAAATCCACATTTCCTCATAGCCAATCCAGTCTATTCACATTTTTGCATAAAGCATAGAAAGTTGCTGAAACGTCAGCAATTAAAAATGACAAAGTTCAAAAGAAAACCTCAAGAGAAGCTGCATGTTAGCAAAGCTCTACTCCAAACTTTTCCACATGGAAATGATGAGAAGTAGCGAGAGAAGGATTTCCTTTAGAACAAAATATCCATGAAATCCATAAAAACACAGGGGAAACTTTTAATGTTACTCTAATGTTGAAAGATAATGTCATCAATGTTCATGTTTTTCCCAAAAACAAACATTTACTTCCTGTAGCTCCCTGCAGAGCTCAAGTATTTTCCGTATAATAATGATAATAATTATGAAGCCTTCTTGTTCTCCAATGAAAATGCTCCAGAACTACTCAGTATTTTTATATCCAGCTCTGTTTTATGTTTACTTTTGCAGAGTCGTGTTCGCAGCTCCAGGCTGCGTTCGGCTGAAGGAGACATGCGGCTCCAGTTCAATAAAATTCTGTTTTGGTAAACAAACCACTTTATGAACCCAATAAATCCAAACGTATAACTTACCATCTTCGAATGGCGTCCCAACAGGCCTGCAGCAGACAGAGAGAGAAATGTTATATTTATCAGTTCAACACCGATCTGAGGCAGAGCGTCACTTTCTATAGCAGAGAACTAGAATTAGTAGATTAGACTTGTTTGTGTCAGACTATTTTGTTATGGTAATTCATTTAGGCTATACTCTTTGTTTTCTTTGTGTCGCATTAAATCATGTCCAGGTCACCTGGACGGACCGCCAGTCTGTCGCAGGGCAACACGGAGAGACACACGCACTCGCACACCGCTCAGGAGAATTTAGAGAGACCAATTATCCTGACCGTCATGTTTCTGGACTCTGGGAGGAACCCAGAGAATATAAAGTTCATAAAACAAGACTGGAATTTTGTCAAAGCAAGAATATGAAGGCTGTCATGAAACTTACTTGGCAATTATTGTCCCAGAAGTTATCGCAATAAACGATAATATTGTTATTTTGAGACAATATTCCAGTGACATAATATCAATGACACAATAAAGCAAGAACACATTCTCAAAAATCAATAAACTGAAATGGCAATTGTGAATTTATCAAACTGCAGCGCTAACTAATTTTCTCAGATCTTCACTTGGGTTTTATAAATGACAGTTTTAATGATATTATTTTCTGTGGATATTCGGCTACGTGTGGCTTAGGCTGAACTAAAATAAGTGAACCAAACCTGAATCGTGTCGTTGGTCCGTATAACACATGAAGCACGCCGCTCAGCAACGAGAGATGATATTTTATTAAAGCACAGAGGCGGCTGCAGGATGTGAGCATCAGAGGCAGAGAGGAGACGGCGGGGTGGAGCTGCATTTAGAACATGACTCACCCAAAAATAACAGCGTTCCACAGCATGATGTTGTTCTCAGACGGCGCTCCGCTCACACCAGTGGGAGGGTCCTCCTGAAGTCTGAGGAGCAGAGGAAGAAACGATGAGGAGGAGAAGAAGAAACGATGAGAAACGATGAGGAGGAGAAACGATGAGAAACGATGAGGAGAGGAAGAAACAATGAGAAACGATGAGGAGGAGAGGAAGAAACAATGAGAAACGATGAGGAGGAGAGGAAGAAACGATGAGAAACGATGAGGAGGAGAGGAAGAAACAATGAGAAACGATGAGGAGGAGAGGAAGAAACGATGAGAAACGATGAGGAGGAGAGGAAGAAACGATGAGGAGGAGAGGAAGAAACAATGAGGAGGAGAGGAAGAAACGATGAGAAACGATGAGGAGAGGAAGAAACAATGAGAAACGATGAGGAGGAGAGGAAGAAACTATGAGGAGGAGAGGAAGAAACTATGAGGAGCAGAGGAAGAAACGATGAGAAACGATGAGGAGAGGAAGAAACAAGAGAAATGAGGAGGAGAGGAAGAAACTATGAGGAGGAGAGGAAGAAACAATGAGGAGGAGAGGAAGAAACGATGAGGAGGAGAGGAAGAAACGATGAGAAACGATGAGGAGGAGGAGAAACGATGAGGAGGAGAGGAAGAAACAATGAGGAGGAGAGGAAGAAACAATGAGGAGCAGAGGAAGAAACGAGAAACGATGAGGAGAGAGGAAGAAACGATGAGGAGGAGAAACGATGAGAAATGATGAGGAAGAAACAATGAGAAACGATGAGGAGGAGAGGAAGAAACAATGAGAAACGATGAGGAGGAGAGCAAGAAACTATGAGGAGCAGAGGAAGAAACGATGAGGAGGAGAGGAAGAAACAATGAGGAGCAGAGGAAGAAACGATGAGAAACGATGAGGAGAGGAAGAAACGATGAGAAACGATGAGGAGAGGAAGAAACAATGAGAAACGATGAGGAGGAGAGGAAGAAACTATGAGGAGGAGAGGAAGAAACGATGAGAAACGATGAGGAGGAGAGGAAGAAACAATGAGGAGGAGAGGAAGAAACGATGAGAAACGATGAGGAGGAGAAGAAGAAACGATGAGGAGAGAGGAAGAAACAATGAGGAGCAGAGGAAGAAACGATGAGAAACGATGAGGAGGAGAAACGATGAGAAACGATGAGGAGAGAAGAAACAATGAGAAACGATGAGGAGGAGAGGAAGAAACGATGAGAAACGATGAGGAGGAGAGGAAGAAACGATGAGAAACGATGAGGAGAGGAAGAAACAATGAGAAACGATGAGGAGGAGAGGAAGAAACGATGAGAAACGATGAGGAGAGGAAGAAACGATGAGAAACGAGGAGGAGGAGAAGAAACGATGAGAAACGATGAGGAGAGGAAGAAACAATGAGAAACGATGAGGAGGAGGAGAAGAAACGATGAGAAACGATGAGGAGGAGAGGAAGAAACAATGAGAAACAATAGGAGAAGAAGAAACAATGAGGAGAGGAAGAAACGATGAGGAGGAGAGGAAGACACGAAGAAGAGCAAGACGAGCATTTCAGACGGAGGCAGCTGGCAACACAACAAACAGATTTATAAAATAAAAATCTAGAACAGGAGGAGAAATAGCCAGAGGGAGAGATGAACGAGTGGAGCATGAGGCGACTAATTAAAACCTTGACAACTAGATAATTATCGGTCAAAACAAGAAGCTGCAGCATGAGGCTTTGTGCAGGATCAGCCGTACAACGCCAACCTGCTGCTGGCAGGGCTCTGTGGCTGGAAACGCCGCCGACGCCAACTCCACCATGAAAACACTCTGATAGACTTAGAGATTAAAAACTAATCTTTGAAGTAATAAAGGAATAATCTCAACTGTATATCGTGGGGTTGATATTTATCGCATCGTTTACCATTTATTGTGATACATTTCTTAATATAAGAATTCTGATTTATAGTTTTTATAACAAAGTCCAATTAATGATGTTTAAAAAGTTTTACTGCTTTCTCCACAACTTGTTCAATAAAACTTTCAGGAAATATTAATACATTTGAAAATATATTAAATGAACTTAAAATAATGGACAAAAAGACGTAGTTTTGCATTTAATATGAAGAACTGTGGTGTTTTGGTGAAGCTGGGTGATAAAAATCACCACGTGTCTTTACTATGAAGAGACGTGATCAATATCAATAGATAACTGATAAAATAATCAATACATTTATAAAACTGACCCAGAACTGCACGGCATTCTGGGAGACGTAGGCAGCTGCTGATAGCTTGCTAAGAAAGTTGGTGGCATTAACTCACGCGCTCTGGTTACCTAGCGACTCGCTCTGGTTACCTAGCGACTCGCTCTGGTTACCTAGCGACTCGCTCCCTCTCTGGTTACCTAGCGACTCGCTCTGGTTACCTAGCGACTCGCTCTGGTTACCTAGCGACTCGCTCTGGTTACCTAGCGACTCGCTCTGGTTACCTAGCGACTCGCTCTGGTTACCTAGCGACTCGCTCTGGTTACCTAGCAACTCCCTGCAGGCTAAACTGTGCAGCCGCAGTTTAAACTGGACAAAATGCGGCAGAAGTTCAGATATTTAAAACAACCAGTAAAGATCAATATTGACTGATATGAATCAGACACATTATCCAGATTTGTTTAGGTTCAAATAAACTCTGTATTCAAAGTGTAAAGTGATGCGTCTCTGCATGGTCGGTGTTTTGGTCGCTGTGATGAGGTTTGTTGATGCCTTGAGCTGATTTTCTTGTCTTCTGCAGAACAGAAAGTAACTCCGTCACATCATTTCTAAATGTCTAAACTTGCAGAGGCAAAGCAGCAGTCAGGAAACGTCATGTGTTGCAGTTTCTCTCTGCTCTGCAACAAAACAACTTCCTCCTGACTGACTCAACTGGAACATGTTTAACATTTAAAGCGTTTATGGAACTTTTTTTAACATGTCTTTTCTAAAATTAATCCAATTCATTCCCTAAAAAATAATCTTTCAATTCACAAATCAAGCATCTTCAAGATCTACTGTAATAACCTTAAGTTCTATTCATACTGCATTTATTTTAGTGTTTCAAAGTTTAAAACATACTCCAGTTTTTAATTTTCAGTCACTAAAACATTATATTTGAGAACATGCTAATCCAGTCCTGTGTAGAAAAATGTAAGTTCAGGAAATGTGTCTTCTATCCTCCAGTTTACAACCCGATTGATTAACCTGAAATAAAAATATTTCAGCGCTGATTTGCCGTTCCAGTTGTGGTTTCACGATCTGAACTTCGACAAATGATCCGAGACGTGCAGAGCAAAATGCCACAGCAGCAACTGCCTGGCAACAGAGACAGGAGCAAATCAGAGCCACCGATCTAAATGAATTTTCCAACACCAGACTGCAGCGGATTACACAGTAATGGACCAAAGCAACATGATAAACAAACTGCTAGAAATTAGCTGCTTCAAGCCTCACATTCAGACTCTTGATCACTAATGAAGATAGAAGAGGTGGACACAGCTTAAAGATTAAGCCTCATGTCTAGAAGAAATTTAGGCTTTATGAAGGTTTACAGCAATTATATCTGTAAAGCAGATTTGTAGCAGTAAGAGCCCAGACCTCTCTCTGACGGCCGTCCAGCAGACAAACTCACTGATGTGGAAGAGGACTGGATTTATTGGCCAGGAGACGGTTACTTTGTTTCACTGCACATCAGGAGTTTCTGTCAGGTCAGTTACTGTAGCTGGAGCTTAGCGCATATCAGGAAACAATCAGCATTATGCAACTAGAAATATCATGACGCGTGATCAATATCAATAGATAGCACAATCCAATAGAACATTCAATATATAGAACTGAACTCTGACCCTGAACCGCACAGCATTCTGGGAGATGTAGACAGAGGAAAGGCTTTAGCAGCTCTAAGCTAGTTTGGTTGCGTAGCTGAGTAAGTTGCTCAGGAGCAGTTTAAGGTTTCTCCACCGCGCCTCTTAACTGATTTAAAATTAAAATATGGATTAAAAACTTTGGATAAGACAGGAAGTGTCACAAGTTTGCAGTTTGGCTACATTTCAGATATTTAACATAAGAAAATCAATAATAGTTGATAGACTGATATGAAATCCTTGATAAGTTTTTAAGCAGTATGCATAAAATTATTTTCAATCTGTATTATGTGTAAAGACAAAAACCTTAGCTATTGGCATAAAAGACTAAGCATTTATTCATTTTTTAGATTCTAGAAGTTATGAACTTATTTTTAATTTTTTTATTCATGTTTTTTCAGACAATTGCAGCAAGAAGGATTTTGTTTTTACTTACTATTTTCAGACAGTTGATGGAAAAGGGTTTTGTTTTTCAATTAGCATCTCCAAAGCTTAAATGACACATGAACTATGAACTAAATCCCAGAGGAGTTAAAAATGAGGCTTCACAAAGAGCAGGATGAAATTCAAACCATTTCAGATCCTCAACTCCAACGTCTCTGCCTGGATTTCTGACCAGACAGAGAATAAAAGAGCAGCGGCAAAAGCAAACGCAGTGGATTAGCAGTTGCTTGCCAACAACTGATGGTGGTTGCTGGGGAATATCATCTCTGCACCTCGAAACTGAGCCGTGAGGATGTCATGAAACGACAGTCTTTAGTTTTGTGTAAAACACATTAGACGGATCCATTCAGTGTCAAAGTTCCCCACAGCAGAGTGGAGTTACAGTGACACCTTATCCATCCTGCAGTAACATTTCGTTTTTACAGACTCTCTTATAAAGCAGCACAAGATGCCAGAGAGCAGCGCAGCATTCTGGGAAGGATATGTTCAACAAGCAGTAGCTGCTAAGGTGAGCATTTCAGCTGCAGAAACATTAACTTTTTATTTAAACACAAAAACCACCAAATGTTTAGATTGTTACATTTAATACTTTATGTTTTGTTGTGAGGATGCCTGTGACTATAACAAAAGTTTCAATACAATAAATCATCCTTGAAGTTATTGCAATAAACAATAAAATTGTTGTTTTGAGACAGTTTTCCAGTACCATAACGCTGACGGCTTAATAATGTGAGAACAGATTCTCACAAATCAATAAACTTTAAAAACAGAAACAACAAACTAAATTATCCATAAAAATGGCTAGTTGAGACCAGAAGGAAGACTTTTATCCTCAAGGTTTTTGGGTGATTTGATCATGCAAATGGAAATTATTGAGCTCGTTTTGCATTTATCATGCGATTAACTTATTGCAATTCTGCACAAATAGCTTTAAAAATAGCTTAAAATTTAAAGTTTCTGTTTAGCCAAGCTTTTGTTGATTAGAGAACGTAAAAAATTCTTTTAGATTTTTTTCTTGCAGTGCAAAATCAGGACCGGATTAATCTAAATAATAGCAGAATAATTAAATCCAGCCTGAGAGGATAACTGACAATAACTAAATAATACACAGAACATTATCAAAAACTGTACTACTTTGATTTTAGCAGAAATGGGAATCATTGTGATTCTACAGGCCAGAGTAAATAATATTTACAAATCTAATAGTATTAATGCAGTGCTATATGTGTAAATATTGACTTGCACATAAACAGATACAGAAATAGTGGCAGGAATGTAAATATCTGCTGTAAACACTGAAGTTTCCCCGAGCCAGAAAAAAACGAAACCAAATTTAAAAACTGAAATTTTACCTGTTAACGGGCTCATTTTAAACCCACTCAGTATTAAACAAACCCATTTGTGTACATTTTAGCTCATATTCATGAGCAGATCAAACAGATGCTAAACATCTTTGATCCAAACTGATTTTGTGGGAGAAATTTTGAAGCCGAAACGCCTACAAAACTAATCAAAAACACTGAAAAACACTGGCGTAATTCAGCTAAAATTAGCCGTTTGCCATCAACAGTCAGCATTTAAGACGTTACATTTGGTATTTCCAAAATAATAAAAAAATAAAAAAGCAGCAGCTATCATAAAAAGACTGGACTATTCTGTTTAAGACGTTTTAGGTAGTAAAATTGGACAGTGTTTCGTAAACCGGAGCTAACGCTAAGCTAACCGTGTTAGCCACGTAGCTCCGTCGGCTAAATCTGAAGAGCTAGCTTCCACAAACGGCTACTTTACCTTTTAAAATCCCTCATTAGCCGTCTCCTTGCGGGCGTAGACATTATTTCAGTTGTGTATACAAAAACAATTTGAAAAAAACTAAATGAGCGAAAAGGAAAAAGCCGAAATCCGGTGTTTCTTCCGCTTGCAGCTCTTTTTATTCCCCCAAAACAACAACTGGCTAGCTCGCTATTTCTGGTTGACGTCGGTTGGTTGCAGTGCGGAGGCCAAGAGCAACCCTGACATGTCCCAATGTTTCTGTTAAAATGCTGCGGAAACTCCTCCCTGCTGACAGACAAATCAGCTGCAATTCTGCTGGGATATATTAAAAGATTCGACTGCTTATATATGAAAGTAATAACTATTTATTACACAGCTACTGAGAATGTGCAGTAGTTGGAATATTGGAGTATTATTCAAAAGTTAATTTATTTTCGAGTGACGCATCTCAACTATAATACAGCCAGACTTGGGTAGGAACTAGTTTCATCTACTTGAGTAAAGTCTTTAAAAAACCCACACATTTTACTACCTTGTACTTTTTACTTTTAATTGAGTAATTTTATTATGAAATATCTCTATTCTTATTTGAGTAAAATTTCTGGAAACTCTACGCACTGCGACTTCAAATTTGTTTTAGTAAAAAATTCGCCTGCAGTTTTTGAAAATGTTTCTTTATCTTTATTTTATTTTGAAATTACACAACTTCTTTGAATTATTTTATTTTCTAAAATTTTCACTTATTCTTTTGTCTTTCTGAAGAGGTAGTTTCTAAATATTAAATGGTTGATTTTTGATCAGTTACTCACTGTTCTACCAAATATGTTTCTGCTCTTTCTTGAGTAATTTCTTGGATGGTTACTTCTTTCTTTACTTGAGTGAAATCTTTGTGTGATCTGCAGAAACTCCTCCCTGCTGCTTACAGCGACTCTGAACCCAAAAATCTCTTTTTCCAAACATTTTTAAAACCATGTTTACCTGCATCGAATAAGAAGATAAATCCAATCAAACTTATAGTGTAACAGAGAATTTGTTCATATTTTTAAGAACTACTATTTTTAATATAAGGGAAACATAACATTTTTGCAAAAAGAGTTAGTTAATTTGCTTTTTATTATTTTAAAAAGAAATGAGCAGAAAATGAGCTCTATGAAAATAGTACTGGTACTTTTACTGTTATTCTTTAGATATTAAATTAGTCCATTAAAAACCTCACAAATTGCTAAAACTCTACATTTGTTATTGTATTTGTATTTAAAGATAAAAGTTAGCACTTTCACATTTCTCAGAGCCACAGGAAGATCCCAGCAGCTCTGTGTAAAATTTACTGTGGAAATATATTTATGTTTTCTAAATTAATATTTCAACCTGGTTTAACCAGGTGATAGGAATCAATGCTTCACTTACAATCACTTTTAGATTTTTTGAGAAATGACAGATTAAATAATTATGTGCTCCTGTGTTATAATCTACTCAGGCAGTAAGTGGCTTACTTTATAATCCCCATAATCCATCTGAAGCTGATGCATGCTGCCTCTATTGTCCTGCTGGGAAAGTGATCAGAAGCAAAAATCAGCAAAAGGTGGGCTGATGTTTCAATACTTAACAAAATAGGATTTTATTATGGATGCACAAGGGAGTGTAAAAGTATGGAAATATAATTAAATTCAAGACATTTTTAGCTTAATATATCTGAGGGAAACAGGTAAACAATTCACATTTTTAACTGTTAACTGTACTTCATTTGTTTTACTTCAAGCATTTGCTTTAACAGTTCACTGGTTTTGTAGAGACAGTTTTATGGAGACATTAATCATAAGGTACATCCTGATACTCTATGAGTCACCACTGCATGCTGGGCAAAAAACAGCTATTGAATCAAGCCTAATCCTTCTCCTCACAATTTCCCTAAAAGAATCCAGATTGCTGCTATCAATAGGCGTAAAGCCCTCTTAGCCCATTTCACTGTAGTGGCAATGTAGGTCACACACAGACAAAAGGCCGGCCGCCTCCTCCATGCTACCAGCAGCTAAAGCAGCCATGCACATTTACAGCCGGTCTTGCTGTGTGTACATAATAATTCCCATAAATCTGAGCTGTTCTTCCTTAAAATGCACCACAGGAAATCATCTCTGCCAGTAGCCATCAGGCTTTACAATCCCCAACTCTGAGTAACTTAAATCTAATTTTCTCTGCATTCATTTACAGATTATTTACAGAAAAACAGATCTGCAAGCATGCTTGTTATCTTATGTATTTACTTATTTATATTAGTTATATTTGAACTACTTGCAACACTCTTAGATACATCTGACTTTTCCTTGCTTACGGCAGTTTCTCAAACCTTTCAGGGTGAGGATCCTTCGCCCCTTTACAGTCAGTAAAGTTTATTCTATTCTAAGTAGGCAAAGCAAAGGTGAACGACGACCAAACCAACAAAAGAAAACATGTTGGCATTCGTCTGTGTGCACCTGAACAAAATGATGACGATGTGGACAAGCTCCCTCCGATCTCCTGCTGGGAGTTCGGTAGGAACAAAGCCAGAGCTCGTTATGGGCTTGCCACTTATTTGTTGTTGTCATAGCAACTGCCTGCCAAGATGGTTGTGATGTCACACGAAAATTATATATTATTTGCATAGACTTTCTGTACATCTCAACATTGTTTAATCACATTTAAACTATGAAACTGTATTCTTCTCCTTGTTGTTGTTGTTGTTGTTGTTATCATGGGGCATCATGACGTGCAGTGAGGGCTTGTTCTGTGGCTGGGACAGGAAAAGGTGACCCTTTCTGCCAGCTGCTGGACAAAAGCTTTGGTTCGAGCCAAAATATGCAGGAAGAACGAATCCCTGCTTGGCTCTGCTGCTTTTTATAGACAGGCTGAGGAAATGCTGGCATTGCTTCCTCATTCTCTCCAATTGCTGTGAGAAAAGGCAACATTTGCCTGTATCTTTTGTTCATTTGAAAATAAAATCAAGACTGTACAATATTATGAACATTTTAAAAAAGATTTAATTGTGCATGTTTACTTCCATTGTTCATTTGTTCTCAGTTTGACTGTATGATGATTTTGTTTTTTATGAAGTAAAGCACTTTGAACATCCTTGTGTAATACTAAGAAACCTGATTGATAGATTAATTGATTAATATGTGTAACATAATTAAATATCGTCTTTGCATCTTCTAACTGGTTTATTTATGATGGTGTTAAAAATCCTTTAGTCTCCAACCTCCGCCTTCGAGGTGCAGCTCCTCCAAGCTGCAGTTTTTAATGTTCTGAGCTTCTGTGTCACTCAGCAAACAGCAAACAGCTGGTGCAGCTGCTTCTGCTCGCTCTTTACTGGAGCTACAAAATGTAGAAACGATGTTAAAGGGTTTATAGAGGACCCAAGATGTGATGACGGCGTTTCAGAAAAGCACAAGTTTTAAAAGAGACAATTTTAAGGCATTAAATCACAAAATCAAATCTCTTTTGTCATATTAAAGTCATATTTTGCATATGTAGCATTTTTATAACAGTTGGAGTGAACACAGTTACTAGGTTGTGCTATAAAATGCCACCGTGTGCCTGGAAAACACATAATACTTCCCCTTTAATTACTAATGTTGTCATTACAGTTTGTCAGAACTATAAAGGAAGCAAATATTTTACATTAAATGACAGGAAAAGGTTTTCACAAAGCACAGTTGAAGGTGCAAATGGTCAGCAGATGGCAATCTGGAGTAAAATCAATATTCCTATATATGGTCCCTGTTGAATAGACTAAATAAACAATGAACAGTGAAATTAATCAGGAAAACTCACGCTAGTCAACCGTAAAATAAAAAACTGCATCTCCACAGAAACTGAGGAGGAATCTAACTCATTCTGATATCTGGGTGATGCAGAGAGCAGCAAGCAGCCACCATCTGCACTGCAGGAGCTAATTGCCTCATTAAAGCTGCCTTGTCATGTTACATAGGCGGCGGTAATTAAATTACATATTCAGATGCTCAGCCTTGTAGCATCACAGTCACCGTTTAGTAAAGGCCAGCAGTGCTGTTATAGGCAGACATCATGGAAACAGGTTGCAATCTATTTTATAAAGTCTGTTAAATTGAAGTCGTCAGAGATTTTGACTCAACTGCCAACCAGTCACACAGAACCTTATTTTTGCTATTTTCAAAAGCAAAATAGCAAATATTTTTCTTACGAAACAAGTAGTTTAGTGAAGTTACTAAACAAGTACAAGAAACTTTGAAGACAATAGGCATTGGCATCAGGGGAAGTTTCTTTTGGGTCGTTCCTAAATGAAACCAGGGGGCATCCGGATTTGAACCAGAGACCTCTTGATCTGCAGTCAAATGCTCTACCACTGAGCTATGCCCCCACATGAAGCTTTCATCTGTGAATCGATCAGTGACAGCTGCTCATTGCTCAAGAGACAATGTAAACAGCAAGTTTCACTCTGATGCATTTTGGATTCAGTCTGAAGCATCCACAGCGACAGCAGCTGTCAAAGATGACTCTCCATTCAATCAAAGAAGTTAAACAAGACATCTGGATTTGAGCCAAGAGTGTTTACATCTGACCACATGATTCATGTTTAAACAACAAGTTAGGATTTCTGTCAGTCCACATCAATATTTGTTGTCAGGTCATGGATCCTCCATGAGCAGAAATCAGGGGGCATCTGGAATTGAACCAGAGACCTCTTGATCTGCAGTCAAATGCTCTACCACTGAGCTACACCCCCACACACTGAGCTTTGTGTCAGTATTTTCAGTCAGGAGCTGAACTGTTCATTGGTCAGTTTAAAGCTCAAGAGATGTAAATCTGAACACTTGACGTATTTAATGCTCAAACTTGTGTTAAAACAGGAACAGATTCTGTATCCATGTCAGACCAATCACATTGGCAGCTGCTGTCAAGAAGACTGACATGGTCTGATCTGAAACTCCATTCTCAGAAATACCTGAACAAATTAAAAACCTAAATTCAAAGGGTGAAAATGAGGAATTTATCTTTCAAATACACAGATGCAGCCCAAACACTGCAGAATTGTGACAGTTATGAGCTGTTCCATATTTAAACTATTTTAGGTGTGATCTTTTTTAATAATGGTTACACTGGATTTTTTTTACGTTAAAGCAAAGGGAGCTAAATATGAATGTAATTTTCACTTCATCCTCATATTGTAT